GCATAATTTGTTGATTAACGTTCTATTAGATCTTCTTCGATGTTGTATAAAACAAATAATGAATGTTTTTCATTCGTTCAATGGTGCAAATATTTTCATTCGTTGAAAGATTAACATTATTTCTATTCAACTCGGCTAACGCCTCGTTGAATAGAATGTTAATCTTTCAACTCATGAAAATATTTGCACTATTGAACTCATAACCATTCATTATTTGTATACTATATCACCTGCTTGTGATGCTCAACTCATAGTTTTCAATGTAAGCAGGTCAAAATACCACTACTGACCTTCTCTTAAAAAAAATTCATTTCAATTTTCAAGCACACATGAAGATTTATATATATATATATATATATATATATATATATATATATATATATATATTCAGAAGTTAATTGGAGGGTGACTGTGGCCCATGTATACCAACCTCTTCATAATTAGATTTAGACCAGGGCACCATTTCATGAAACTGTCATACATATTAGTACATGTACAAGTTCACTGACATCCCATTGAAACATGTGTTAAATTTGTCTGCGAACTTGTACTTTTGACGGTTTTATGGAATGCTGCCCAGCTTGATAAGCATTGCTTAACAATGTTTCCAGTTTTACAAATCTGAGATGCATGGCCCTTTGGTTATCAGTGCCTGTGATATGGTGTAATATTGAAGCCCTAAAAAGCACTTCAAAATGATCATGAAATGCTTCAAAAATGTAAAAAATCTTTGAGTGACCGGTTTTACCATACTCATTTTTCCCAATATAGTATATTGTTAACAAAACGTTGGGGAAAAGGTTTTTAAATTTTCTAATTCCAATCATAAATATCTTGATAATCAGACGGGTGAACGGCTTGTAAAATTCTTGGGACTCCTGACTGACCTAAAGGTTTATAATTATAATTGCAGCATGAGCTAAATCTAGGATTTTTTTTAAGAGTCTGAGGCAAAGATAGTTAAGATACGCAATCCCTTTTAAGTTTCAGGTTCTTGTATTTATTTTAATCCATTGACATTTAGAATCATGTGCCTTTTCTACGAATATTTCATAATTATCATGATTGTGAATACACCTTACAAAATATCTATATTGTGTAATAATTTGAACAGCTTGCATATATGTGCATTTTACTTGTAGAAGTAGAATACGGTTCCATGCATTGTTTGATTGTGGCTATTTCTTTGTCACTATTTCATTTCAATTTGACGTTTCTCTTTTTTTTGCGGGGGGGGGGGGGGGGGTTGAGTAAATTTATAAAAATAAAATTAGATTGCAAATTTGTATATTTCTATCCTTTTACTATACTTGTACTATTTTTTCTTATATTTTAAGCTACCGTATGCAGATACTTCAATTTCCTCCTATAAAGTTTGAAATAGTGCAAGCACTTTTTAATGAACCCTAGAGAGTGGAGTATATTTCTAGATATGTTTAAGGCAAATAAAGTCAAGTAAAATAACACATGGAAATTGTACTAGATGTAAAAAGAAAAAAGCTGTATTGTTATTAAAGAAAACAAGCAATTAACCACAAGATCAGGATGCTATTTTGTTGTACAAGAGTCTCCAAAGTAACTTGAATGAAAAATGTAAATAATACTACTGGATATTCAACAGTGACGTAGCTAGAGATAACATTCTTTTTAAAAGGGAAAGAAACTTTTATTCCCTTGAAATACTTAGTAGTTTTATATTTCACATTTATTTATCCTGCTTTATGGTCGTAACTACCTTTACCTTTACCCAAGATTCTGGGAAAATGCTGTGTTCTCAGCAGTCGGGCTTCCAGTTCAATCACTATCAAATACTCAAAACAATATTCTTATGCCATTAAAAAAATATATACATGCTAAACATCCCGCCCGCTTCCTTTTGGGGGGCCACCTCCTTTTTTTCTTCTTTTTTTTTGATTAAATTTTTTGTTTTCTTCTTTTTTTTAAAGAAAAAATGCTGGCGACCATCTTGAACAATAGCCCGACTGTCAGGGAAAATGTACCGAGCGGCCATTTTGAGAAAGAAAAAAAAGGGGCCTCCTCTTCCTATTTTTCAAAAAGCAGGACGCTATTAAAACATTTTTTTTAATTTTTTTTATTTGGCCTTAAAGTCTCTCCTTTCTTAACTTGCACAATTGTTAAGATCAAGAATATGGATTTATATACGGTGGGTGGACATGAAATTGCATTGCGTGATAAATGGCAATAATACAATCAAGGCAAGGCTTTTGGGAGTTGCCAAGTCATGTACCAATATGCATATGTATTGACTTATCAAATCATACTGTTAGAACAAATATTATGATAGTTTCTTTTATTGAAATAACAAGTGTTCTATTTACAGAACAAAGTTCAGCTCTGTTTTTCCATTGTTATCGCAGTATTATTTAACAGCATGCCTGTAGACTTTATAACAAACGTTTGATGTGAGTGAGTGGATTTGCGTCATTAGGGGTATTATCATACTTATATGTTATGCCTGCATGGTGAACAAATATAAAGGAGGCACGATGGCTCAGTGGTAGAGCAGTGGTCTCCTAACCAGGTGGTCCCAGATTCTAAACCAAGTCAATGCGCTAGTGCCCTTTGGTAAGGCATTAATCTTGGTTATTGGTGGTTATTTTACCTGACTGCTAACAAAGCATAAACGCTTCTATTAAAGTAAGCAACCAGACTGCCGACGGTTTTAGGTCCTCTCCGAGGGACCTGGTAATGAGGATTAATGCCTTCATTTCCAAGTTCCTCAGAGAGGACTTAAAGCCGTCTGTCCCCTGGTTGCATACTAATACAAGCATACACATGCTTTCCTAGCAGACGGGTAAAACCAACCATCAAACTGAGCCAAAGTTGCTCTGGTGACAATTGCTCCAGGCTTTATTTCATCACAGGTATAGGGTAAGGGTTAGGGTTGCTATAGGGTTTTGGTTTAGATTCAGGGTTAGGTCAAGGAGTTATGTTACCTCCCTGGTTAGGTATACCGTAGGTATAATAAGGTTAGGGTTAGGGGTTACTAGGTTATAGTTTGGGGTCCAGGGTTGAAATTCTGTTAATGGATATGGTAATCTTCTAAATAGACCATGGAACACCTGGCGCAGAAGCATATCCATATTACCATGGCCTAATACAGCAGGCCAGGCATGAGAAAAGATTTGCATTGAAAACAACTCCAGAGAACTCCAGAGAAAACAACTCCAGAGAGTTGGCTGTCAGCCCCTCCCTTCTCTTCTTCAGGTAGCACAGGAAGAAGATCGTATGATTGATTTCTTTCAAATTACCAGGGGATTTCCCTTTACACTTTCTATTTCACAATATTCTGAGAATGTTATCAAACTGGGTGATTTCCTGCAGTTACCCTGTTAACACTTAACCCTAAAAAGGCCGGACTATTTGAGGTCTTAGTACGGCCGGGGGGGGGGGGGGGGCATTATGGCCCCCCCTTAAGATCTCGGCCGCAAATCTCGGCCGATCGCCGCGAAAATTTGCACGCATGTCAAGTGAAGTGTATAGAATAATATGATAATTTCAATTTTTTGAAAAATTCACTCATTTGCATATTTATGGTAATTTATGCAAATAAAGTCATAAAAATCACATTTTTACCCATAAATCATTTATTATTCATATTTAAGCATTCTTTTTCACTACATATATTCATTAGACCATTCTGAATAATATTACGACAAAAAAAATTGGAAGAGCCAGCTTACTCCTTATGTTTATTATACCTTGTTTTGATAATTTCTTATGTATTTCATTGTTTTTGTTGTTTTATTTCAATTCTTACTACAATTCAACTATTTTGACTCCCAAAACAACCACCTAAACTTTAAACAAGACCCAATAACCCATGTTTGATCTGTTTTTAGGAAAAATTACTTTTCCATATGTTTTGTACACAAATCACGAAAATGAGCGATTTTCGGGTTGACGTGCAAGGGCAAAAGGTCACGTGACCTTTTAACCGTAGGTCCGATTTTCAAAAAAATGATTTTAAAAGTTGCGCAAGACTCGATAGAAAAAAGTCAGCGAGCGGCGGGGCGCCATCCATATGCGTTCCCGAGCAATCTGAAAAATTGTGGAGGGGGGGGGGCCATAATGGCCCCCCCCCCCCCCCCCCCGGCCTTATTAGGGTTAAAGGACCTTGTACAAACCCATATTAAAAACATTCAGAAAGATTCAGTTTACAAAATAGGCTCCTACATGTATATGCTCCTCTTTGGTTGACCTCTGACTATGAAAAGTATTTTCAAGAAAGAGATTCAATGAGATTTTTGTATCCACAAGCCAGAAGAAGTGAGATTTATATTATTCTAAACTTGAATTGTGAATCTCTTTGATAAATTGCTCTCTGTAATAGAAGCCCAGATGGTTAAAGGGGCCAGTTTGACTAAATATACATCTAGTTGTATATGTAGTTGTAGCTGTCCTAAACTTATACAGAAGGTCTTTCATACTTACTAGATTACTGACGTTTTTTTTAATGCAAACTGCATTCACTTGTACAGATATATGCCCACAATTATACTATTTTGTCACATCTGTGCCAGGAGAGTAATTTTGGACAGGTATGGTGCATTACAAATGTTTATTATATAATTACTATTTGAAATGAGTTGACATTTTCTCAAATGTTTAGCTCGTGGGTGTATATTTCTCTTTCTTTCTTTCTTTGTTTCTTCTTTGTCTCTCTCTATCTTTCTTTCTGTATATGTTTCTTTGTTTCTTTTCTCTCTTTCTTTCTTCTATCTTTCTTTTTTTAATTTTTTTTTTAAAGTTCAGATCAATGATGCCTGCTCCCGCTATCACTGTTCATCCATTGAATGGATTTATTCATTCTATTTTCTCTGACTGTAAATACAGTGTAAGAGATATATGTTTTCTGTCTTTCGGCCTGAACTCATGAGCTGTGGGCTCTCGGTCTTCTGGTCCGTCAGTCTTTTTAAAGGAAGATGACTTTTCTCCAATTATCAGCTGTATTTTCTTTTTCTTTTTCTTTTATGCAGATCGGAGATGTCGGTTCCTGCCGTCGCTGTTTGTCCTGTGAATGGATCACATCCATTCTATTTCTGCTGACTGTAAATAAGATATATTGTCTTTGTATTCTCCATGCGGGTGAAGACATTTGTGAACATACTCCCAGGGAAGTTTCAAGGATCTGATGGTGCACAAACCTTGAATGGATCATGTATAGGTGTAGACCGAAAAATCGGTCTATTTCGTCTGGGACTACATCTGGCTTCCCTGAATTCCATGGAGGAGTTTCAAAAGACAAAACTTTTTTTTTAAACTCCTCCCAGCAGACAGATTTTTCAGTCTAGTATTGGTGTGCTGTTATGTTTTCTTGTAATCTTTAAGATACCATATATTTTTTTTTTTACAGAAACCAACTTGTAAATGCATATTGGTTGATCCAAGACACAATATAAAACCCAACCTGTCATGCGATATATACTAGAAAAAAGTGGGCTCAAATTTGTGTTTGTTTGCCAACACCCCCCCCCCCCCCCCCACAAATTTTATACCAGGTAGTAGAAGGGTAGTAGAAGTAGTAGAGGGGAATAGTCAAGGGACTATCATTTCCCTGATTTATGTAGAAACATGAGTGAGATTTATTTATTCTTCTCATCTTCAATGATCTGGACCGAAAGTTCTTTAGAGCAGGGTAATGTTAAAGAGTCTATCACTTTTCCTAATTCATTTAAGAACATGATTGAGATTGATGAAGCCTGTGATGGTCCAGTAACTTTATTCAAAGGGTCGTTAGTGATGATAGGTCGTTAGTGACGATAGCTCATTTTAAAGACAGATGCTCCTATAACAAGCTCTTTAACCTAGATACAGGGTTGTCATTATCATGTAGAATAATAAAAGGCAATCTGTCACACCATTATGTGGAGAACATCTAGTTTGATATGTGAATATGTAATATATACAATATCAATTATGTTGTCATTTACACCACATGCATGTATGTAAGTGCTTTTCAAATTGATAACGTTTGGTGAACCACGATGTTGATAGTGGCAAGACTTATGGCAGGGGTCCAAAACAAATAGTGAGGGTCTATATGCACCAATACCGTATTGACATTATGATATGTTGGGCATCTTGGCAGATTCTTACATTTGTATTTGTGTGTGGGGGTGTGGGGGGGGGGGAGCTGTGTGTACCTGTACAAGTCCTGCAAGTTTGGGCTAATTTAACAATGAATCAAGCCATCGCCGGCTGGTAGCAAGTAAGTAGGAGAAAGGTCGCATATTGCGTTGGTGTGGTCACTGTGGTGGAGATCAAATTAAATAGGCCAGATTCTGGACTAGTCTGGGGCCTGTTTCATGAATATTGTTACAAATGAGTTATACAAGGCACACAAATTACAGTGATAAACAACTGATATCCTCACATATGATTGGCTATGAGCAGTTTGGTCATAGATCCATGATAGTTGTTATAGAAAACTGTTATTTTTAAACAGGGTTCTGGGCTCATATTCATAAAACCTTTCTAAGCCTACCGGTAGTTGTCAACTAGCTATGTACTATAGCCTTGGTAATTAATTGACAACTAGCTCATGAAGGATTTATGAATATGGACCCTGGATTTTAATTAGCTAGCCCAGGTACATCCACCTCCAGTCAAAATTCTTCTTCAGGGTATTTAGGAGAAAATAATCCAAGATCCAAGATCCGAACCCTTTGGTATCAAGGTCTTTTAAAATGCTTTTTTTTGGGTGGTACTCTCACACTAAGAAAACTACTTTTTAACAATATGAGACTGTATATTTATATGTGGAAGTGAAAAACTACAGAGTTTAAGTTTGATATATCCAAATATATTTTTTGATATGTACACAAAATACGATCATTATTATTGCTGGTTGTATTCAGTAGAAATGAATGTGAAGAAGCAGTCAAGCATTTAAGTGGAATGGAGTTGAAAGATGGGCTGAAAAATGGGCTGAAAGACAAACACGAACAAAAAAATGAGGACTATTGTCAACTTATCGGAATGATGCATCTGCAATCGAAGCATATTTGCCTATGGATGACAGAAATTGAAAGGGTTATATGTTTACACTAGACCCGCATACTGATTTATGTCAATTTACATACAGGGACATCACACTGGTTCAGTTTAATGGTATGTATTTACGTTTGGATTCAAGGTTCGGTTTGTACAAGTGTGTTATGACGTAGGAAATTGGGAATTGAGGATGTTAACATGCTGCAAATATGAGAGTTGATTTACTTTGGGATATCATGGTGTGTAAAGATTGTGCATATGACAAAATCAAGCATTTCCTAGAATTTATATTTGAGATTTTTTTGCTGATAAGCAAGGCATACTTGTACATGTTTAAATGATATTATACAGTGCACTTTCTTTGAAGACATGTTGAACTTTAAGGCATGTTTTTTTTTTTGGAATGGTTAATAATAAAGAAAATATCTTCATTCACATCATGGTGTTTTTTTGTTTGATTTTGTTCTTGTCAATAGTAAGTTATTCAGGAATTGTGTCGTGAAGGATTAACAATGCATTTTGCAACATTTCTCTTTTTACTTGAACCCATATTTAGGTGTATTACACAGTCCTTGATTACATAATCATTACAAATGGGGTATTATTATAAAAGGAAATAAACAGGCTTTTCAATGACACCAACAACAAATATGATAAACATTATAGTAACGTGAGATATCAACAATTAAACTTGAATCGCTGAACTTTTATGAGGACTTTTCAAGTGGTATTAAAGAGGTTAAGTCTATCAGTTGTTGTTGTTGTTGTTGTTAGATTATGTTTTAAGGCAATTCTGTCAAAACTGACTATTTATACCTTAAGTCAGTCAAAGAATCAGGAAATAAAAGGAAAACACCAAAAGCAATTGGAAAGTGCTTTCTTCATTTAGAATAAAGTTATTTCCTTGCTCTAAGCCAGAACAATGGATATATTGTTTACCTTGTATTTTTTAGTAATTTAGGAATAAATTATGATGAATACAAATTATTGCCTTTTCCGGTTTCCTTTGTTTGTGAATTTATCATTTTATATTGTTATTGCTTGATATTTACTGCATGTAAAATATTATATTTTTCAGAAGGCATCATTATTTGATAAAAATGTGCTACCTCAAGTGAAGAAGCTTACAAAATTTATCAAACTGGTACTGCTCAACTTACTACTTAGGCAAACAGAGAGTATGCGACCTTTGAACTTTGTCAAGAATTACTAGTTAAAACGCCCCAGAGTGAGAAATAATGGGAGAAATTAAATGGAAGACGTGTGTATAGATTCTAAAAATCCTGTCCTTTCTTTACATTGCAAGAATCCATCAGTTTGGGTAGATATTCTGGGGCAACCGACATGTCTTTCGATGCAGAAAACTTAACTATATACATTTTGTGCAAGAAGGAAGAATAATAAAAGCAAGGCTCGGTCCAAAATAGAATGAAATTTTACACCCCCTGACTTTTTTATTAACAGAGATTAATTGAAAATTCTTCATCTGCGAATTTGCCATATGGAAAGTGACGTATGTTTTTTGAAGGCCTAAATGAGTTTGTTCATAGAAAAATTGTTTTATAAAATCTGTCTAGAGTATGAATGGCTTTCAAATATTCAAAATATTTTTTTTTTAATTCAAATTTATGAGTGAATTTGACAACATTTTACTTGACATGTGTATATTTTCTTAGCGTACTGTTGTTTCTGTAACCTGACCTTGAAAAGGCAAGCTTAACACTTGTGTTTCAGTTATTTATTTCATCATTGGTCGTATGGAGCTCATTTTCCCCTTATTTTTGTTTTTGTTTTGCTGAACCAGATCTCATAGAATATGTTTCACGCACTGCTATTCACTGAATTTTAAACTAACAAAGTAAAAGCACCGAGGTGTATCCATGTGATTCCAATATAAATCGTCCTCGGGTTCTGTTCACACATTTCAGTACAGGCGATAGCACGGCTGTTGAAATTGCCTGATGACAAGTCATGTTGATTTTTAGAAAGTCTATGCGATCGTGTATTTCATAGACTTTGTTATTACCCCCCCCCCTTTTTTTTTCCCTCCTCTCTTTCCCTCTCTTTCTCTCTCTCTGTCCCTCTCTCTCTCTCTCTCTCTCTCTCTCTCTCTCCCTCTCTCTTTCTTTCTCTGTCTTTCCCTTTCAACAATTAAAAAAAACCCGCAATCAATATAGCCTCGTACATCATGTTTTGACATGTGTGATCACTACAATGACTTATTACGTAAGCCGAACATAAGTTGCCCTTGAGTTTTAAGTCTTTACAATCATGATTTTAATCTGTAGAGCGACCCCCCCCTTCTCCATTAGGATGAAGGGGGACAGGGCAGGGGCGGATCCAGGCCCCTCCCTAGTTAGAAAAAAAATCCACCTCCGACCCCCGTTGAGCTAAATTTAAAAATCCACCCCCCCCCCCCCTCCCTGCTTATTCGGCCTGCTGGCTGAGTCGCCGCTAAATATTTTCTCACGAATTGGGCCTCCTCCCTCGCCGCCGGCTGGATCCATGGCATCCGCCCCTGAGAGAGGGAACACGTACCCTCGGCCTGTACACTCCGGTAGCTGCATACCACTGACATGACAACATTTAATACTCTAGGAAAGGAATCGCATTGTTAAGATTTCAAAATAAACTCCTTAGAAGGGCAAGCATTAAATTCAAACTAAGAATATTAATTTGGTATTCAGCATTGATCTGTTTAAACTTTCTACCTTCAGAGTATCAAAAGTCCACCCGAGGACGGAATAGATTGGTAGTATAATGGTATCCATTACTAGTATAGCAGGGTTCCAGACATTGATGGGGGCACCGGTATCATAATGAGGGGCGGTTCACATCTGCGGGGGCACGGACTTAATCGGTGGGTGAAATACGAATCAATGGCATAGCGTGGGAGTGGGCGTAGACATTTTTGCTCCCTTTCCCCGTAAACCTTTTCTCTCATTTTCTCTTTCATGATTTCATTTCATTTTCAGCAGATTAGGGGGCACGTCCCCCGTGTTCCCCAAAGCTACACCACTGAGATTGATTATATTACCAGTCTGACCTCTCTGTAGTAGTCTGTCTTGGATGAAACCCGATGTTAGTATAGATGATACATCGCTTGAGATCATGTTACCAGTCTGACCTATGTGGTAGACCTTAAGACCCTTCCACCATCCTATCCAGAGGCTGATCCAGGAAGTTTTTGAAGGGGGGGGGCAATTCCGAAAGTTGTCAAAAGAAGAAAGGATTCATTACATTTTCAGATGCCCTTTTTAGTGCTAAAGAAAAGGGTGTTTTAAACCACAATAAGGGGCACATTTTTGCTTTCGGTGTATACTTATCATGCTTATAGATAATGCCGGTGAGGGAGGGGCGCTGTGTTTTTTGCGCCCCTGAAATATACCAGTGATGCGATCTTGAATGGTTGAACATGATCTGTATGTTACCAAGGACGGCGCTATAAGGGAGGGGGCTTTGTTTGACCATAGTTTGACCTGGCATTTTTACGTGCACACAGCTTAGTATAACACATGTAGCCCTTTTTAAAACCCGCTGTTGAGCAGCAGTACGAACAGACACCATCGATGGAATGAATGTCCGTACAATAGAAGAAGGAAAAGAAGAAGGGGGACCAAATTAGTGACTGGCAGGTTATCCGAAATTTTCCAACAAAAGAAATAGCCCCGCACATTCTAGTATGTCGACACTGGGTAAAACCTTGACATCATGGTTTTCAATGGGATACAACGTCACAGTCACATATAGGTCCACACACAAATATCGCCCCCCCCCCCCCCCCTTCTTTTTTTTTTTTTTTTTAGCGAATGAAGTTTATGAACGGGGATGGCATTGCCCCCTTGATACCCCTTGCTACGTCAATGTGTACCACCGATTCTTTTTCCCCCAAGAAAATATTCAATCTTCTTAGTTGGTTCAGTAATCTTGAGGATAAAGTGCTGCCTTCAATTCCTTTAGAGTTGATTTTTAAAGCTGTTTTACCTCCATTAATTTCGCGGGTGAAAAATTGAAAAGTCTGAAATTTAATCGAGTTCAATGCATCATAATGTTCTTCTGTTGTTGTTGTTTTTCCATATAGCTACTAAAATGTCTGAAATGAAATGGAGTGGAAGTTACCTGACTGTTTCCATGTCATTTGAAGGATCCCGATGATTACATCATGGAGTAGGTCCATGATTACATAATCATGATTTTGACAGGTGTACAAAGGTTGTTTTTTTGTAATGGAAATTATATATCAGGGTTACAAATGCTCTAATCACTATATTATGGGTTTATTTGTTATTATGACAACTATTTAGGCTTACGAATGACCCTAATACATAATGAGTTCGTTTTTTTAATGGTAACAATTTTAATAGGATAGGGATAGCATTTTATCAAGAAGTGTGGGGGAGGCGATGTGATTAACCATTTTTGGACAGTTTGGGAATGTTTTTCTTTCCTGACAGGGGTAGTTGTCTGGGGCTACTTGTCGGGGGTGGGGGGGGGGGGGGGGGGGGGGAGGGGTCAGCCTATTTCCGGGAACAGATTTCAGGGTCTGTGGTGTCCTGTCTGTGTTCTTGTTCTTCTTTTTTTTTGGGGGGGGTATATTCAACTATTCAAGTTGCTTGGAATCTAAATCGTTCCGGAATGCTGGAATCTAATCGACTTGTAAAGTTCCACTTGTTGTTAGGTGTAATAAGCACGTCTATTATTTATTGATTCAGCTGTGCCCATCTCGGCTATACTGTACATGTATATCATGGCATTTGCTTTTAATATCATATTTTTTTATTTTGATGATAACAACATCCAATAAATTTAATATCTCTATTGACTCACGCCTACCCCTCATCTACTAATAAAGATTAATGACAAATGTATTAATCCCGTTTGAAAGATAAGTATATCAATTTCTTTTAAAGCGGGACTGCACTACTTGTTGCTGCGCCCTCTATAATAGCAAACAATGCCTAAGCGGTACCCGTTGGTCCCCCGTAATCCCCTTTTTCTTATGTTAATTGAGAGCTGATTTGATGAGATAACCACCTGTCAGTGACCATGTAGGGAGGTCTAATCCCTCCTGGCCAAACTAGTGCAGATAGGCTTTAAATCATCATTTTGAAACCACCCTTCATAAATGTGGTTTAATATTTCCTGCGGAATGATTTGATTATGACGTCTTAAACACATGATGATGATTACTGTCTAATTGTCTAGATACACAGCAAACTGTTGTTCAGAATATTTGTGTCGAGGAAATTCATTTATAAATTTTTGGTGAAAAAAATATATCATAACAAAAAAAGCATAAAAAGATAACCACAAAGTGATTGTTTTTTGGTGCAATGGTCTTGTAGTCAATAATTAAACCGCATGATATCTGGAACTTCTACATTTAGAATTTTTAAAATCCCACCTGCCGGATAACAAAAATAACCGGGATTTTTATTCAAGAAATATGACGAAATTATCAGAAAATTACTGCGGATAATTAAGAAAAAGGTAGATCGCATTTCCTCTGGGTGGTTAAAAGGGTTAGGTGATTTTTGTGCCCAAATTTCTTTCAGTGTAACAGGATATAGAATGTGAATTTTCTACGGCTATTCTTAATCTGTTTTCCCCAAAACCATGACATAAAACATGGAAAGGTATGAAATATGAACCTAAATTTGTCAATATGAGGTATAGTTTCGCTATGAAACAGTGCGTGATATTTATTTCTTCAAAATATTACATTCATTAACTATCTAGTCTCCGAGTTCAGGCTCTCTCTCTCTCTCTCTCTCTCTCTCTCTCTCTCTCTCTCTCTCTCACACACACACACTGTCTGTCTTTCTGTCTATTACTGTCTATGTTTGCTTGTATGTCTCTCTTTCTGTCTGTCATGTCTCTCTGTCTCTGTCTCCCTCCCTCTGTCTCCCCTTCCCTCCCCCACTCTCTCTGTCTGTCTTTCTGTTTATCACTGTCTCTGTTTGCTTGCCTCTCTCTCTTTCTGT